GGGTGCTGTGGTTAGATCAGTGGGTCTTAGCCACTCAGCTGAGTGATCACCAGGGTGAGACCAGGCTCCTGCCTGGGCCTCAGCTTCCCAGACTACAAAATGAAGAGGTTTGAGGCAGATACAGCCCAGTTCCCCATCCATCAGCCCTTGACCTCTCCTAGCACCACGCTTTCAAACATCTTCCTCTCCTGGTTCTTTCCTCTCTGCTGCGTAACTTGCATTCTCTGCTAAAGATAAAAGAGCTTAGAGTTCATCCGTTAGATACCTTCACAGAAGAGCTCTTCACAGCTCCTTCTTGGCCTTGACAAAGACTTTAAAGCCAGAGGAGTGACAAAAATCCCTTCTCTTGAAAATCTGGATGTCAGAGAGCGAGGGGCCTGAAGGAAAACCTGTTGCCTGGACCACTGTTGTCCAAGGAGCAGGAGCAAATATGTCTCCCTGAGCCTCAGTTGCCCTTGTTGGTACAAGGCGGGAACAGTGGCACTAGGTCACAGCGTTCTCACGAGAAGACAATGAGATCATTTAGGTGGACGACATGTGGATTTGAACAAACTCTTTGCTGAGATCACAGCTTGTCCCCTTCAATGCAGCCTGCTTTCCATTAATGACTTTAAATGTGCATCGAGTTTTATCCTAAAATAAAAGACAGGAGGGTAAAAGACTGGATCAGGTACAGATAACCAAAAATAACAGTGTTGCTCCAGCCCAGATGGGCAAGGAATAGAGAGGGTCCCCGGAAGTCTGGATGGCTGGTTTCAAACCTAAAGTCCTTATTCCATCCCCTCTCCTTTCAATCAAACACTTCAAAGAGACGCTCTGAGAAGGGAGCTGCAAATGCTCTGCTCACTAGTTTTCATAAGAAGAAACCGAAGAATGTTTCTTTTTGAGACTATGTCTGCTCATCCAAACCAATTTTACAAGCTGGGGGGACTTGAGCTCAAAGGCAGGCTCAGGGGCTGATGAAATTCATATGTGAGGCTGCAGAGACTGCAACCCCAACAGGAAAATGAGAGGCACCCGGCAGGGCTGGGCGGGGAGCCAGGGCTGCAGGAGAGACACAGGCAAGGGAGCCGAGGGAGGGAGGAAGGGAGCTGAAAAAGTCTGAAAGAGAAAAGAGGAGCAAGGAGAGGAGACAGAGCCCGAGAAGGCATTTTATTTTTCTTCTTTAAAGAGTGAAAAAAAAAAAAAAACAACAAACACCCAGACTGTTTCAACTGACGGGGAAATGTTCGTCTGCCGAAGGCATTATTAGGACGGGAGATAAGGAAACCACGGAGATAGGAAATAATTATTTTGTATCTGTCTTTATAAATGAAAATGAAGGGCATTAACTTAAATAGGATTTAGATTTTCAGGACAGAAGGGAATGAATTAGAAAATAATTCTGATAACAAAGGAAATGTTTATTAAAAGGTCAGGAGGGGGCTCTTGAAACTGACAAGGCCTCAAGGGCCAAATTAAAACCTGCTAAGTGGCGATGGAGATTGAGGGGTGTCCAAGCTGCAGGGTCTGGCCGGTACCACTTGTGCGAGATAACTCAGCTCAGGGCAGAGGATCAATGGAAAAGGTGACTGACCTCCTGGCCTGAGTTGGAGTCAGTGACCCGTAACTCAACAGGTGGGAGACAGGCAGCTGTGCAGAGAGTGAACCGGACCAGGGCAAGGGCACCTCAGACTGGACTTGGACCCCACACGGATCCCTCATCCTCACTCCCCCCTCCCCAAGCTCATAGGAGGGGTGGAACATGGAGAAAGCGGGTGGGAAGGGAATACAGCAGTGACGATGCCACAGTCACAAATCCCAGAGGTCCTCTTTGTCTCCTGGGCACGTGCCCAGGCTGGCCAGACGGAGCCAGCCCCAGTATTTCTTAACTCTTTCTAGGGAGGTAGCTGGAAAGTAGCAGTGAGTCCACGCTCTAGTGTCAGATTCCTGGGTCTAAAGTCTGGCCCCACCATGTTCTCTAGTGCTGACCTTAGAGAAGTTATTTAAATTAGCAGAACCTTGACTTTCTTACCTGTAAAATGGAAACCCCTTGATCATGCCTCTCTCGTAGGGTATTGGGAAGGATTAAGGGAGATGATAGAAGAATATTCTCAGACCAGTAAACAGGCTAAATAATAATGCAGTTATTATACAATGATTATTAGAGGCATCCTGGTTTACCTTCAAAACCAAGTAAGTTCTTCTTTATGTCTAAGCTGAGTATGGCCTGCAATCATCTGGGCCTCTCCTGATTGGAAAGAATGGGCATTCAAGTCCACCCACACTTCTTCCTGCCTTGGCCTTGAGCTCCGTTACAGATACGGCTCCACCCTTCTACCCCGTCACCTTCAACACTCCCAGGAAGCCTGGAGGTGGACGGCTTTCCGACAGCGGGATGGTTTATCTGTAGACTGACCATTTTAAAGGTCCCAACAGAAAAGGGGATCTGTGGCTCAGGTTCAGGAGGGAGGGAGCCACAGGTCCCCGGCTCCTCTTCTCCCAGAACCCAGTGGCAATGGGAAGCCTGGAAGGTGTGTGAGAGCTGCTGAGTCCACCTCCCCCACAGATACAGGAAGTACCCAGGACACTTCCCAGGGCAGAACTCCACATAAGGACCCCTGTGCAGGTTTCTGAGCTTAGCATTTCCCTGAGGAAACATGGGGGCTGGCTCTTTGGACTCGCTGAAAGCTCTCTGCCGACAGACTCAGATAATCAGCTAATACCCGACCCCGCCGCGTCCTGAGCCCTGCGACAGACACAGGACAGTGTCATCAGGCCTGCCTTCTAAGAGCCTTAGCCAGCTTACCACCTCTTTAAGTGAGTCTGCCCAGGGTAATTATTCCAAACTTGTGCCCGTGAGGAGGGCTAAGTGTCATGTCACTGTAATCCTCTGGAAAGATCTGTCATTGGCCCCATCAAAGGGGTTGTCATCTGCCCTCTTCTCCTCTCCACATTTAACCCTCTCAAAGTTCTGTGCTGACTTTCAGCCAAGGGATAGCTCCCTTAGAAAGTCTGAGGAAGAAAGATTGCTAAACCTTGGGACTCCCAAGCTGAGAGCCAGCCCTCCTCAGCCAGCCTTGCAGACAGTCACTGGCCCACTCCTTCTGGTCAGGGGAAACCTGGTGCCAATGGAGTGGCTGCAGCCCAAGACATCTAACTGCCTCCAGCTCCACAGTGTTCCAGAAAAATATTTGGTATGCTGGTAAATCAACATTTGTGTATGTGTGCAAAGCTAGGAGAGTTAACTGCTCCTCAGTCTGAAATGGGTACCTGCAGAGTGGACGGGAAGAGAAAGGCCTGGACTGGATCTCCTGCTCTGGACTTCCCTTAACCTCCCTGATCCTCTGAATTTCCTCCCATGTGAGGAAGGGACAAATGACAGTACTGACCTCACGGACATTTTTGGGAGGATTAAAAGAGCAAGTAAGTGCCTGGAACATAATAGCTGGCACATTGTAAATGCCCAGCACATTTAGCCTTTCTTAATTACTTTTATATTAATTCAGCAATTTATAGTTTACAAAACACACTCACATATACAGTATGTATTAACTAATTCAGTCCTCATAGCATTCCTGTAAAGAAGGCACTATGAACTCCAAGGTTTTTTTGTTTGTTTGTTTGGTTGGTTGTTTTTTTGTTTGTTTTTGTTGTTGTTGTTGTTGTTGTTGTTTTTTGGAGACAGTCTCATTCTGTCTCTCTGACTACAGTATGGTGGTATCATAGCTCACAGCAACCTCAAACTCTTGGGCTTGAGCAATTCTCTTGCCTCAGCCTTCCGAGCAGCTGAGACTACAGGTGCCCACTACAATGTCCAGCTAGTTTTTCTATTTTTACTAGAGATGGGATCTCAGGCTGATCTTAAACTCCTGAGCTCAGGCAATCCACCCCCCTCAGCCTCCCAGAGTGCTGGGATTACAGGTGTGAGCCCCACCACCAAACTCCAAACTTGAGAGAAGAAAGTTTGAAGTTCAGAGAAACCTAATGACTTGCCCAAGGTCAATAATTCACATTTTAAAATAATCAAATAGAAGCCAGATGCTTGCTTAAAATTGTGGTCATTTTATGAGAGTTGTCCTCCACTTCCTGGAAATATGTTGCCTGAATGTGACTGAGGTTTCATGCAATCTGGCCAGCAGCTAGACCTGGGCAAACCACAACCTCCTCCCTGTCTGGGCCATTTACAGGATTGAGGGTAAGGTTAGGGTCAGAGTGCAAAGTATTTCAAAGCCACTTAGATACAGGACTCTATCATAGTTCGGCGGAGAGAAGAGGGTGACGATGGCACATGTGAATAATGCACAAAGGATGCTAAGCTTCAGTTCAGCAAGATCCAAATGCTCGTTTCATCTTTGATTTCTCCTTCTGGCTGAGCCAGTCCCTATAGCCACTGATCCCAGGGCCTTCTGCGGGAGCCGTGTGGCCACCGCTAAATTGGCTGTTCTTGATAGTGAATAGAAAGAGGAGGGGGCTGGGAGCAGAGAGAAAAAGAAAGATAAGTCAAGGGGAGGGGACTAGGGAAGATGAAAGGGGGAGATGAGAGAAGGAAGATCTTTCGCCGTACTCCTCTTCCACAGACTGCCACAGACCCGAGAACTTGGGGAGGTTTTGTTCCAGGAGAACTTTCCTGGTCTTTTTCACTGTGTGGTTGTCACAGACTGAACTCACTTCTCCCCAAGAAGTGGGAGTGATGTGGGGCTGAGCCTCTTTCGGAGAGGGAGACCAGGACAAGAGCCCCGTCATAGTTGGCTGAGGAGTGAGAGGAGAAACACAGGCTCTTCCAGACGGGGCGGGAGGCAGAGCCGGCTCAGTGGAACCCACAGCCCACCCTCGGGAGCTGAGCGCAAATAGGGACGTGGCAGCTGAGATCCTGCAGATGTTACGCGGGCAGCTTCTGCCCCAGCTGCAAATCTGGAAACAAACTCGAGCTATAAAACTGACTCGTTTGGTTTAGACAAGGGCAGGTGACAAAACAGCATGTTTCAACCACACCGCGGAGCCTGGGCAGTTAAGATTCCCATCTGGCCTGGGGAATGTGATGGGGTCAGAAGGTCAGAGATGGCAGCAGCAGCAGCAAGGCAGAGAAGGTCACAAAGACTTGTGAGTGTCACCCTGGGAGGGGTCTGTGAAGAGAGATGCTCTAAGTTCAACCCAGGGGAGCGAGGCTCTAACAATCCCAAGTGGAGAGATTTCCAGTTGTCCCCTTCTTAGAAATCGATAGGTAGACTGACTACTCCTGGATCAACCACCAGCCGCTTTGTCTTCTTTGGGGCAGCCAGCCGAAGCCGCTGCCGCTGATTTTAATGAGACATAATAATATTCTCTCAGTTCTGCGAGCTATAGAGTGGGCCCACCGAGGGGAACTGCTCAACCCCCCAGATGATCAGACTTGTCAAAATATGATCATTTGGTTCCTTATTATAAATGAAAAGAAGAGATGATTTAAGTGTCATCCTCTGGGTATGGGAGCTGGATTCCTATAAATCAATCATCCGAAATAAACTCTTTGGAGTGATTTCACTACAAATACGCTGCAAACAATTTCTTTAAACAAAGCATAAAAGTATTACTGTATCTCTACAACATCAAAATGACTTTAGACATGCATTATTGGGTTGCTGGGGTTTCCTTTGCTTAAAATATGTTGGTTA